GCCGCTGGATGGGGCAGGAGGGCGCGCTAGCGGCTTCGCCCCGGGAGGGACAGATGCCAGCAGAAACCAGAGACGGTGGGAAGGAAGGATGAACATTTAGGAGCCATTAGCGCAGCTCTTCTATGCAGCTGAGAGACTGAGGACGGCCCGTTTCACGCTGGGGTTGGACGTGATCATGTGGAACTGACCAAATTAAACCACGGGTCATTGCACGGAAATCTGTACAAGAAGAAAAAAACTGCAGGAGAAGCACAGAGCGTCTTGAATTCAGCGCTTACAGAAGAGACTTGGTTATCAGACAAGGTACCATGCAACCCCAGCTCTTTCTGCATATTTTTTCTCTGGGTTAAATGTTCAGAGGAAAAACAAAATGTAGATTCTTTTGCATAAACTCAAACTGTTGTATAATATAGTACAGTACAGAAAGTGCAAAATATCACCCCATCAGATCGGTTCCGCATCTGATATGGTCAAATATGGCTCATGCTTTTCATGCAAGAAGACGCAATCTGAATCAAGACCCTCATGTACTGCTGTGCAGCTTCAAATAAAGGAACGTTGTTGTACCAAAGCCTCCTCGCCTGTTTAGTCCCATCAGTCAAGATACCACTAGTTGTTTTGTTTTTTAAAAAATAAAAAGAAAGAAAAATAAGTGTGTGGGGAAAGGGAAATGAAGCATCTCAAAACTGCGTAAGTTACTCAATTTATGCTTTACCACAGGTTTGTCACTAGTCCTTGTTCATCCCGAAACCTTCCAGAAAATCCGAGTTCTGCGGGCGCCGCGGTGCAGGCAGGGCTGTGCCTGGTGCAGCAGCAACGTCCTCCCCAGCAGCCGACGGAGCTGACGCGTTCTCTGTCCCTGCTGCCGCCGGGTGCCGCTGGCCGGGGCGTCACGGCACACGCCAAGGTGTCTCGGGGTTCAGTGCAAGGACACTCCGGCCGGCCTGACACACGCGGGCAGTTAGGAATTTCCAGTTCTCCTCTGCAGGCCAGAAGTGAACAAAACCAACTGTGTCTTCCCCCCCTCCCTTTTTTTTTTTTTTTAAATGCCAAGAGATGCAGAAAATAAATTCCAGGATTGGCCTTGTATTGCTCGATGCACAGCTGCTACGTACCTCCACGCACACACACGCACACAGATAGCCTGGGAAAAAACCCAAATCAACCCAACATCTCTAGAGAGGACATTTCAGAGCCAGTTTCTGAGGTAAATCTACTTTTTTAAAAAAGTCACCGAATTCTGTACACTTTTTTTTTAATATATACTTCTACATATAGCGTGTATTCTCCAGTGCCAACACGTAGACCCGCCGTCTCCTCCTGCCATAGGACTGCAAGCTTGGGAGGTGTTTCTGCATGGATGGGGGTGTGTGTGCACACTTATGTACACACACACACACACACGTATGTACAATCACCCATCAGGCCTGGGCTACCCACTTCATCCCCTTTTGGAGAGTTTCCTCTTCAGCACGGTTTTCACTTCGCACTTGGCCGAGCGAGGCGGCGCCGAGCTGCCGGCCCCGCTCCCACTATCCTGGCGCCCCAGCCTACATGGTGCCCGATTTATCCGCCGAGCCGCTGGGGAAGAGCTTCTCGGTGGGGGGGA